CGGACAGGAGAGGAGGAAAGGTTAATCCTGGACATATGTCTTTCTGGAGAGTTAGGAGTGGGCGTGCTTACGTCCTAATGATTATTTTAAAAAAAATGAAAATGGCGATGACTGACATACCATAACTGTATTGATATGACACTGAATTCGAATTACTACTGTCTGCAGAACAGCACGACCGGAAGGCTGCACCGAGACCCAGTGCGGTTTGTTCGTACGAGGAAACGACACATTATGAACCAACTCAGCGATATCTTAAAGACAACAGCGCTGACAACGTGCAACTCCAAAATATGAACGATTAACCCCATCGGCAAAGATTTACAAGTACAAGGAAGCCCTTCTAATGAGTAATACTTGTTGGCAGTGTGCTATCACCCGGGCCACTGCCAGTACTTTCCATCTTTTCAAGGACAGTGTACTACGAACGGCAGTTTTTGCTGATTGAAATATTAGGGTGTGGACATCTGACAACTTCAGTGGGTGCTTAACATTCAACCAGCGATACATCAGATCTACCTTAAAGCTACAATCAATCTCCTATTGTTCCAGTTCATCTTTGGAGAGCTTAACCAGGAGTGCCTTTCAGAAAAAAAACATACTGTGGGCGCTTACTCCAGCGCCGTGCAACCACTTCAGCGCAAAACGCAATTTTGGCGGTTCTCGCTTATCGCGCATCGCCTGCAGTTCTCTAGAAACTTTCAACGATATCTCTCTGTCTGAAAAATCACTTGCCGAATCTTGAGAAATGCAATCACCCACGTGACAAAAACGATAGACACCGCTGCAGAACACAAGCAAAACTGGCACAAAACCGCTGCAAATACAACAGCCCCAACCTGTGCAAGGGCAGAGAAACCCAAAAGTGATCACAACAACAAACCTTTGTGAAAAGCAACACAAGCAGATGGGGTGTTTAAGCCAGAACTGCTCCCATTAAATTATTTAAAGTTGTGTATGGACAAGTACGGGGACTATTTGCTGAGGACAAACCATTTACTGAATGCTTGAGGTGTTTCACGGATGACTCGTCCAGGCAGGAGGAGGGATCGGCACCAGACAACAACAATACCTCAGTCACTTTCTTCTTCACTTTATTCCACTTTCTTTCCTGCTTCTTCGTCA